GTTCACAATCTGTTATGTTGCAGCATTATGCTAGTGCTTTAAATTATTACTTAAGTGCTTTTTCACATCTATCTACACCCCAAACCACATAACGACAAAGCAAACAATGTATTTCTGATAACTTTACAAATTTATTAAAAAGAAAAAAAAAAATAGAAATAGAAAAAATAGAATATATCATTATATTGAATTATAAAATGTACTTCAGGAGGAAATAACGTACATTTAATGGTTTTATTTTTTTAATGTATCGCTTTTTTATATATTTATTAATATTTAAGAATATTTCATATAATATATTTTTAAATATATTTTTATATATATTATCTGAATATTTTCTTTGTACAGCATAATGACTTGTGATGACTGTGCACATTTATTAAAAAGGGAAAACTGAGATAATTACATTGCATAAGTATTCACTACTGTACTTAGTTGAAACACCTTCGGATAGTGCCTTAAAGCCTTAAGTGTTTTTGGGTATAATATGACAAGCTCTGCACATCTGCTTTTGGCAGGCCAGTAATGATGTTTGTCTGAGGATAGGGGTCAGAGTTTCGGGACAGAAGCAGACGAAAATAGACTTTGTCACCCTTTCTTTTTGCTACACAGTTGGAGAGAATCAGATGACATGTTTGGCTATTTTCCCCATCAGTTCCATCAGATTGACGTTAGCAGGAAAGGAAAGTATTTTGAGAGGAAGTGCATTATTACATTTTGATTAAAGATTATTAGGACTAACAATTTTTTATTTAAAACACTATGAATAAATCAATAAAAACCAATGAATTGTGCACAATAAGACCAGTACAAAAGCTAGTAAATGGTCCATTTTTGATGCCTGACGTAGCCTGCCCATTCAGTATTACTGTACACCCACTTCATCCTTCCTGTGAAACACTACCTTTTTAATGTTTTGGCATATTTTCTGCACAGCTACCGCATACCATAAGGTTTAGAAAAGGGTACGATGACTTGTTATTCTTTGTAAGCCATTGGCAGGAATCTGCCTCTTCTCACAGCTGGAAGTCTGTAGAAGAACAGCTGTGCCTGTCCAATAGATCAAAACATTTATGGCATCACATTTCCCTGTGAAATCTGCATACTTTTCCCAAATCTGCTGAATTTGGTAGCGGTGAGAGTCTGTCTGCCTGCTCGCCCCACCCTCTCACAAGTGAGCGCACGAGGCAGAACCTGTAGCTTTCACAGAGTTCATCGGTTTCATTCGCTCCATTGCAGACCCGAGGGCCCCTCTTGGAAGATCATATACATATTGTTTATAGATGGGTATCGGCTTGGCCAAAGTCAACGTTTTCTTATCAAGATATAATTGTAACCAGTTTTCACATCAAGGAAGTGGTCTTTAAATTACAATGCTTAAGTGAAACTGTAAATGGAGCATCATAAAAGCAGAGATGAGAAAGAGTTCCTCAGAAGATCCCATAATTACTATCAGCTCTGTCTGTTTCTGTGTAAAGAGCGAGGGGAGAGAAAACGAGAGAAGGGGACGGGTGGACAGAGAAATATGAGACTGATTAAGATTTCTGATTAACACATTTGAAGAAAAACAAACTGTGAAGCAAAATGGTTTTCAGCTTTATTCAACAATACAAAATATGCCAGCAAGCAATCTGATTAAAAAGTATAAATACAACATTAATTTAAATAGTCAGCAAGGGTGGTGGTATTGTTTATAATTCTATAAAGCACTGATGACGTCTCTTTCAACAACTAGTCTGGATCCAAAACTCTCACCAAAAATATTTGTTGCTGATGGGCGTTATTTGAAAGCTTTCAAAAGTTTGGGGTCGGTAAGATCTTTGAATGATCGAAGTTCCTTATGCTAACAAAGGCTGCATTTATTTTATACAAAAAAAAAAAAAAAGAATACTGTCAAATTATACTTCAGTCTATACATAAATAAAACTTTTCTACTTCCATTTTAAAATATGATTTATTCAGCAGCCATTACCCCAGTCTTTAGTGTCACATGATTCTTCAGAAACCATTCTAATATGCTGAGTTGGTGCCTAAGAAACATTTCTTGTTATCGGTTTATAAAAAAAGCTGCTTAATATTTTTGTGGATACTTTTTGTCAGGATTATTTTATGAATAGAAGGTTAAAATAAACAGCATTTATTTAAAATCGAAATCTGTGACACCATAAATTAATTTACTGTCACTTTTGATCAATTTATGGCACCCTTGCTGAATAATAGTATTAGATTTCTTAAAATATGACTGACCCCAAACTTTTAAACAGTGTTAGAGCTTTGCAATGAGGCACAAAATGACAAGTTTAAATAACAAATTTTATTTAAAAAAAAAAAGATTTGTATAAAAAGGCTATGTACATCTTATTTCAAATGATAAATAAAGGGTTACTGAAATACAGTTGCCATTTATGTAGTGTATATGATGTGTTAACAATAGGTGCAAATACACACATTTAACATTATGCTAATTAAATCTAGCACCATAACTTGTCTAGCACATTTGAGGAAAAAAAAAAAAAAAAAAATTCTGAGGTCTGCAAAGACATATTAACACCGTAAGAGATCCAGTCTATGACAAAATTAAAAATAATTTTACACAGAACAGAATTTAACAGAAAATACAATTTCAATAAATGAAGTCATGTTGACCAAGCTGAATCTATGGGTGGGAAAGGGATAAATAGCTCTTTATATCCCCTCCTCCATGTCCAGATTACTGCAGAGTACTGCCTGGTAGATTTGCTAAGTGCTTGTGTGATGCAGTTCAAAGAGTGAAATCTACACAATGCAATAGTGTGCCACTGTCATGCATGCATTGTAGAGACTATACTGCTGAAATCATAATAAAATGTATGTACATATGATAAAATCACCATTAATGACAGCTTTCTAAATAAAAACACATTAAAAAAAAAATAAAAAAAAAAACATTTTAAGGTGCACTTACACATCAAACATGTTTCCATGTTATTCCGCCTCAACATTTCATGAGGGTACAGCATGATTAGCCATCTCACTAAATGCTCTTTCTGGGGTTGCAAAACGCAGAGTTTTTCCCAAATGATTTCTAATCAACATTCCACGATTTCGAAGCCCCAAGAACACGTTTGTAGGCTTTAAGCATGTGGAAACCTTCCAAAAAAGGAAGACCCAAAGCAAAGCATTTCCAAGAATTCAAGTGAGTGTATTCAAACCAGCGAAGTACTGTTGTGTTCCAGCTCAGTTCAAAAAGAGCTAGCTTAACATCTGAACTGAAGCACCAAAAGCCAAGGGTTAATAGATATGACATCACACAAAACAGGCTGCATGAACTAAAGTAAATTGATTGCATTGATTTAAATGGATCGTTCACCCAAAAATGAAAATTCTGTCATTATTTACGAGATATTTTGAATGTTGTTCCAAACCTGCATGAACATAAAAGAACATACTTTGAAGAACGCTGGTAACCAAATAGTTGTTTCCTACTGACTTCTATTGTATTTTTAGTCCATGCAATGGAAGTCAATGGAAACTTTTCTTTTGTAGTATTTTTGTCTTGTTTTCTAGTATAAATATCTACAAATTCTTGATTCAGGATGCATTTACTTGACAAGTAAAATGACTTAAGATATTGTCTTGTTTTCTGAAAAAAAAAAAAAAAAAAAAAAAAAAAAAAAAAAAAAAAAAAAAGTCATACAAGTTTGGAACGACATGAAGATGAGTAAATGACAGACTTTTTTCTGTGGGACACAAAAGAAAATATAAACCAGAATGATTTAGCAGTTTCTGTGCGTACAATTAAAGTCAATGGGTTCCAAAACTTTCAAACTCCAAAAAGGACATAAAGGAGGTGTGAAATTATTCCATATTACTTTTCTGACTTTCATAATGTACACAAAAACAGCTGAAAATTATCTAGTTCTACAAAATATCTTATTTTGTCTTACACAAATGAAAGAAAGCCATACGAGTTCAGAACGAGTAAATCACAGAATTTTCATTTTGGGTGAACTAGCCCTTTAAGACTATTAAGACTAGTCTGGCACTACAGACAATTTGCAACATTAGACTTGCAAACAAAGCCTGATGGGAGTTTTGGCAATTGTGCCTTGTGTTCTCCGAGTACAGTTAAGCCCCGTTCACACCAAGAACGATAACTATAAAGATAAAGAAAATAGCGTCCACACTAGTGGACGATATCGTCTGTTTATTCTAAGCGCACGTTCGTCTGCCGCTTTAAATTCTTGAGCTCGTTATAGCAAGATGGATTCTGATTGGCTGTCAATGTTTGCATCGTTCATCAGCTGGAAAAAAATTGTGAAAAAAGTGATTCCAACAAAATCGTTTCTCTGTGCCTTTATCGTTATAGCTGTGGTGTGTACTCTGCTATTCTTTAACGGTTTTTAGAACTATATCTTTATCGTTATCTTTATAGTTATCGTCCTTGGTGTGAATAGGCCTTTACAGTTGAATACTGTAAGCACCAATCATGTCTTGACAGATCACAGTAGAGTCCCTCTCAGGAAATAAACCATTGGGTTTATACACAAAACCATATAATACATGGTATAAATATTGAAAAATAAGTTATGTACATATCTTTAAAAAATGCTGCCTTGCAACCCATGGTCCTATATGGCCCATATATTTAAAAAAAAAAAAAAAGAAAGATAAAAAAAACAGGGTGATGCAGGAATGTTGTGCAAATTCCCATGAGGGACAGTGTCTCTGTGATGGGGCATGTGCATTCTGTCTGTCTGTGTTTATTTAAACCAGTGCAGGTAATTTGATTTCACAGCAGGGAAGCACATGTTGTTACTGCATGATCCTCCATAGCTCGGAGGGCACATGGAGCAAGGAACACCTACTTTATACGGGGCCTCACCAATCCAGTTCCCCCTGTAAACAACAATAGCAACAACGGTCAATGACACACCAATGGACAAAGTGAACCACATACGTTTTCATCAACCCAGGGTCCTATATGACCCATATATATAAAAAAAAACAAAAAAAAAAAAACAGGGTGATGCAGGAATGTTGTGCAAATTCCCATGAGGGACAGTGTCTCTGTGATGGGGCATGTGCATTCTGTCTGTCTGTGTTTATTTAAACCAGTGCAGGTAATTTGATTTCACAGCAGGGAAGCACATGTTGTTACTGCATGATCCTCCATAGCTCGGAGGGCACATGGAGCAAGGAACACCTACTTTATACGGGGCCTCACCAATCCAGTTCCCCCTGTAAACAACAATAGCAACAACGGTCAATGACACACCAATGGACAAAGTGAACCACATACGTTTTCATATTTAAAATTGTGCTTTATGAGTTGCTTGATAGTTTGAAAAGGACATAAATGCAATTACTAGACTTCACATTTCCATTTCTAACTGTGTTTCTACATTGAGAAGACAAGCTTTAAATCAATCTGGATCTACTTTAACTAGCTCTCAGCTAGCAAGTCGGGTCTTAACTAGAGTTTATAAATAACTTGCTCTGCAGTAGCCTAAGAATTTGCTCAAGTGCGCTGCCTCAGAAGACTGAAAAAAGGAGGTCACAAGTCAGTCACAAGTCACCAGCCACACAAGATTATGGTGCTTTGATTCTGGAATTAGAGGTAGAATTCTGCTAAAATTCCACATACAGCAGGAATGCAAGAGGTCGTCTAGGTCTTTGAACCAGAAGGCCCCATGGATGTCCACGTCAAAAATGTTTTTAACAGAGACGTGTCAGGTTGCTAGCTTAGCCTAATTATGTTACTGAAGATTTTCACTCTTGGGTTTAGCAGTTTAGCTTAGCTAAAGCACAAGAAAACATACTTACTTTGGAGAATAGTTGCACACCAAGTATGTTGCCCTCTTCCATACTGAGCCCCAAACATTCATATTATGGCATGTGTTGATGGCACATCCTACTTTATTTGAGGTTGCCCACACCATCTGGTAAAAACATAAGCAAAAAGTGAGCAACGGTCAAATCTGAATGATATTTACCACCCTTCAAAAAGTCTCCTATGCTCAAAGTTGCATTTATTTTCTTAAAAATACAATAAAAACAGGAATATTCTGAAATATTATTTTAATTTAAAATAACCATGTTCTATTTTAATATATTTTAAAAAGTAATTTATTCCTGTGATGGCAAAGCTGAATTCTCAGCAGCCTTTTCTCCAGTTTTCAGTGTCTCATGGTCCTTCAGAAATCATTCTAACATGCTGATTTGGTGAAACATTTCTTATTATTATCAATGTTGAAAACAGTTGCGCCGCTTAATATTTTTGTGAAAACTGTGATATATTTTTTCCAGAATTCTTTGATGAATAGAAAGTTCAAAAGAACAGCATTTCTTTGAAATAGAAGTATTTTAAATGTCTTTACGGTCACTTTTGAACAATATAATTTGTAATTTGTACAATATAATTATAATTTGCTGAATAAAAGTATTCATAAAAAAAAAAAAAACCCACATGCATATAAATAATAAAATACATATATAACTGACCCCAAACTTTTGAATGGTTGTGTACCTGAAGAAATTAATTATACAAACAACATCATAATCAACTCACTTGTGTATAATGAGTGCACATAGGCCCGTAGCACTTAAGGGGACATCTGGGATTGCAGTCTCGAGAATAGGGAAAAGAATAGTCCTTCACTTCATCATACCAGGGCTTTACCAGCTGCAAAATGGACCTGTATCTGTAAACAATCCAAACATAGCACCAAAATGTCATTATGGTGTGATGAAATGCTTTCCTTGCTCTTTCAGGCCCAAATGTTCATTGGTATAGTGGAAAATAACCATAGGAAACCTCACTGATCATAAACTGGGAATGATGGTGGTGAAGATGCATACCTTCCTGTTCGGACTGAAAGGTTCTGACCCAGAAATCTAAGAAGATTGCGAGGACCGTGCTCCCAAATACACGTGGACGCCCACTGTTCAGCCGACTTTGCAAGAGTGTCATCCCAGACCTGAGACATGTAATACACTTTTATCAGTCCACTCAAATAAATTCATTTATTATTTGAATAGTTGCAGAAATTATTCTTCATTTTAATGAGATCATTTAGGTTTCTTAAAATTCCCACCCACAGAAATTAAATTATGTCCACAATAGCACAGTTTCCCCAAACAATAACACTGATGGATATGCATTAACAAATGTATTTTATGCTGGAAAATTGTAGTTGTATTCACCACAGTAGATCATTCAATAAGCTTTACCCCTTTAATCTTGGTCAAATCAGAGAATTATTAAAGAAAATCTAACATTTGGGTCTACTGAAACATATCTGATACACTACAGCATTTGCCATGACTGTGCACTTTTGGAAGTATTTCAATGCTTAGCTGTAGTCTTAGCACATTGAGCTATGCTGCAGAGGATCTACTTTGGTGGTCCGAGCCAATTAAATCTGCTCAACAGCTGCTAGTGCCAAATGGACAAGGAGAAGGATGTCATTTCTGCATCCTGTGATGAGTGCAGTTACATGTGCAACACTCACGTGTCCAACTACAACAGCAGCAATGCGCTTTCCAGGCAAAGTGCCAGGTAATTATACAATGAAATAAATAAAACAACTGAACCCAGCGAACTGCTGTGAGGGTGTAGAGCAAAAGTTCAAACAAGCAGAATTTTTTTTCGAAAGTCCAAACTGTTCCTGATTGTATCATAGGCTACTTATTTAAAAAATGTAAAAGTAATTATTGTAAGTGACTTACCATATATTCCATGTTTGAGGCTGGGGGGAAAACTTTCCCTCTGACTTTATTATGGTAATCAAGTATCGAAAGCATATCGTTCTGGGAAATATAACGTTTCCGTCTGGTTTTGGGAAGGTTTGCGGCCTCAGTGAGATATTTTGGAGGCGCAGAGCCAATATCAGTGAAATTGGTTGCTGGAAGGGATGAAGAGGCAGTGGGACTGAAGGCTGCCAGTGCACTTGCTCCACAGGATATACACAAGAGCAGAATGTCGATAGCCAAGCGGTTTTCATTCATGATTGATGGCTGGGATGTGGCGAGAGGTTTCTATTCCTTTTGCACAATCTGCATGTGAAACATAAATGATTGCCATTCATTAGAGAATGCAAAAAAACTGTATTATGTCATTTGACCCTTCCTGTACTATAGAGCCAACAATATAAATAAATTTTTATCATTATTACATCTTTGCTTTAATTTTTTTTTTTCCAGAATACTTTATACCATTTCTACTCAATTGTATGAGTTCAGTAATTAAATTCATATTGATTGTAAAAGTGCAGTAAACTTATGAATGCAGGTTTTAACTTTGACACCACTTTTCAAAATAAGGCAGCAAATAAAAGTCTTCAATATTACTGTCAACATTAGCCACCAGTGTCATAAAAAAAGACACACTTTTAAAAACAATTTAAAGCTGACTGAAAATTCATATAAACTTGTATTGATTTTTGCAAAAGGATTTGACATGTATAGAAATAAAAACCGTTTTCCTTAAAATAACTAACATGAAATTCAACTGGTCATTCAATATTTATCTCTACACACATTTGCCTCTACAATCCACGCATCAGTTTACCAACATACAATCTAAGTATAAAGATTGCTCGAGCACAAAAATGTTCCTACCTTCTCAGAGATGCTAGAGCAGCCTGTGGACATAAACACGTCTCCTTATTGCCTGAGTCTGTCCAGCAGCAGCTTTGCTTTGCTTTGACTCTCTGTGAACTCGAGAGTTCTTTCTCCCTCCCTCTCCCTGCTGAGAAGCGCTACGGGTTTATATACGGCTGAGGTACCGGTTCAGGAAGTGTTCCGGCTTTGAAGGTGCGCGGGGTTCCTCCCCATCCGTCACCTGAAGTGTGACATCATCTGAGACGTAATACTGCGTTTCTTTTATCCATTTCCTGGCAGATCCGAGCAGGCTTAATCAAAACATCTGTGTTTAGTTTGCACAACTGGCGTGAGTAGAAAAGAAAACAGAAGATAAGCAAGTGAATAATCCTGTGACCCCGAAATGCAGCTTAGTCCATTGCAATGGATAATTAATTAGAGGCTCCAAATGAACAAATATATGAGTATTAATAAACCCAAGGAGTGTTGTAACTAATTTTGTTTAAATGCCTGTAACTGTTTTTAGTACAGGGTGTCTCAGATATTAATATAATGGTCTGATATTTATTTACTTAAAATTAAAGTCTTTTAGAAATCTACAATTTATCAATAACTGTGTAAAAATTATTAGTACAAAAAGCATGAAGAGTGCTGTTGTCACAACCTACCACTCTTGCAAACTGGTTGTAAAACTAAAAACACTGATGTACCCTTTTAAAGTAAGAAGAAAAAAGAGAAAGAAAAGATGGCCCTCTTTTGTGTGGTGAACTAGGACTTTATTAAGCCACATATTCACAAACCTACTGGAATAACTAGGAGGCAGTGCATGACATACAACACTTTAATAAACAAGAATGTAAAACAGAGTAATTTACATTTTAGACACATTTATTCCCAGTTACTTTGTTTTTACACCAACAAAAACTGTTCCAAACAAACAACAGCAAAACAACTGCAAATCACAGTAGCGCTGTTCATTCTGGATGGATTCAGTGTTGAGTGAATTATTTAAAGATTTAATGATCACTTGTTTCATTCCTAAATTATTCAGTGTTTTTTAACAAATCGTTTGAGTGAATTATTCAATGACTAATTTTTATCACTTGTTTCATGACTGCACGATTCAGTGTTTTTGAACTAACTGCTTGAGTGAATTATTCAATGATTCTTTTTCATCACTTGTTTCGTTTTTGCATGGTTCAGTGTTTTTGAACAAATCCTTTAATAACTTCAATAAATCCTTCATAGCCCATTTATATAACTGGTTTTATTCCTGAAGTGTTTTTTTTTTTAACAAATCAAACAAGTGAATTGTTAGAGATGAGCAAAATCTGAGCAAAACTAATCACCTTGAGATGCATGCAGGTAAGAAATTAGTGTTTTCTGACTTTGATGCTGACATATGTAAAAAATCTCAAAAAAAGTGTTTTTTCAATGAATCGGTTAAATGAATGATTGAACAATCAGTCATTGTCTGTGCTGATGGCCTTGTGGGCAACGAGGTTTGAGTCCCGGCTCATGGACCTTTCCCAATCCCATCCCCCTCTCTCTCTCATACTTTGTTTCCTGTCCACCTGTCCTATCTCAATAAAAGCATAAAATGGCAAATATATATATATATATATATTTATTTAATTTTTTATAAATAAAAGAATCACTCATTAAGCCACCACCTACTGGTGTAACCCACCACCATTTCACAAACTATGTCTGCCTGGAACAAACACTGACAAGTGAAGTGATATAAACAGTGAAAAGTCTTAGTGCTGTTGTACTTTTATATCTGCACTGTTGTAGTGCTCCTCAACCAATTAGATTTGAGGACTGTCAGGTAATACAACTCAAGTTATGTGGGTCTCCTATACCATATTATGCCTAGCATCCATATGCAGTGTTATTCTCTTGGTAATCAATCACTTAAACTGAGTTTGTTTTTAAAGACTATAAACTGGTTTAAAGGTCTGTCTGTTAAACTGCACCATAAAGTATATAGTTACAATACAACAATAGTCTTATACTGGCTTAAATGGTCAGTAATTAGGACATTCAAGAATAACTGGGGGACGTCCAGCAGTTTTATACTTTAGGGCTATTGCTCTCCACTTTATTTTCTTTGTCTTATTTATAATAATTCATTAGATTGTACAGATTGCACTTGTTCAGCGTCGGAATCAAGCCAATCCAGTGTGCCATAGCAGTTAGTGAGCCAAGAGCAAAACCCCCTCAGCAGTTGAATAATTTTCTTTGGCAGCCGGAGGACAAATTAAAGCAACGTGACGCAGAAGCAGCCCCATCCTCCACACAAACGGCAGTGGTTTCCAAACTTTCTTGGAAGTGATAGTCTTTAAAGCCTAGAATTGTGAGAAATGAAACCGACATACAGCTACATTGTGAAAGCTGTTGCTTTTTATCGGACAGTCTGTGCTCCCTGTGGGAAAATCTTAGTGTTAGATCTACCCCATATGTCTAGATTGGTACACCATTTAAAAAGAAATGTCAATTGTGTAGTAACATCGACAGTCAAAACAAATTCACCCTCCCCCTGCGTCAAAACATCAACCTCCATCAGCAGGCCAATCCAAATTCAGTGTGAACATACTAATAAACAGCCTTTACTATGACCTCACTGCACCTGCCCTCATTTTACTGATGCACGCTGGACAGATGTTCATTTATGCACACCACACACGCTTCGGCCATCTCATTTAACAGAAAAGATATCTGTCGTCTCCTTACTTGACCAAGGATTCATTCCTTGCATTGTTGTAAGACAAGGGAATATCCATTAGCCATCAAAAAGTGTGGTCTCCCTGTGTTATTTCAAGTCTTTCAGGTCTCTCAAATCCAAATGTTAATCTATAACATCAACAGTCACCACTGCCACAGGTAATTAGACCACGTTTAATGATCACACAGTAAAACAAACAATCACTTCTCATTTGTGGGGGATGGTCTAAGAGTAGAGGACTGTTACGGAGAAGCCCACTCTTTTCAGACAGAACATTTATTTACTTATTGCCTCGTTCCAAGTTTCCCCTCACGCTCCCTCTCAGGGGCCTCGCGGAAGCTCTGCTGATGCCAACAGGGTTAGACGCAAAAGAGGCTACACATGATGGAGTTCATCAGTGTGCTTTCGGCCCATGCGTTCAGACACAGACTCACAGCTGTGAACTCCACCCGAAGGCTTTAGTTTCTTCTCTGGCAGAGAACAGCATGTCTAGGAAAATCACTTAGCAGTCATCGGTGTGTGAATGAAACTAAAACACCACTGCCTCCAGACTAGCAAAGCCAGAGTCTGCCCTCAGGGGTCGAATTTGAGAGCTACACTGCAGCTAGGATTTGATTCGAACAGTCACTGAGAATTTGTTTTTGTTTGTAGTCATTGAAAGGCCCAGACTTTCAGGGATCTTTTCCAGTGTGGAAATCATTAGTATGTTTTGTGCTTAAAAATGGGCACATCTAGTACTTATTGAGATGATATATAAATGTAAGCATAAGGTGGAGTGTCAATACATAGCCATATCGTATATAGTATATAATATATAGTCATATATACAATGCCTTGCGAAAGTATTCATACCCCTTCATTTTTTTAATGTTTTGTTATGTTGCTGCCTTATGTTTAACTGCTTTAAATTACTTTTTTTCCCACATCAATCTACACTCCATACACCATACTGACAAAGCAAAAACAGAATTGTCACAACTTTGTAAATTTATTAAAAATAAAAAAACTGAAATAAGTACATTGCAAAAGTATTCTAAATTAACTAAATATTTAGCTGAAGCACCTTTACAGCCTCAAGTCTTTTTTGTTTGATTCGACAAGCTTTTCTCATCAATATTTGGAAATTATCTGCCATTCTTCTCCTCACCTCTTCACCTCTCAAGCTCTGTCAGGTTGGATGAGGGCAGACACACATTTTCAGGTTTCTCCAGAAATATTTGATTGGGTTCAATCCCAGCTGTGGCTGAGCCACTCAGGGACATTCAAAGAGTTGTCTATAAGCCACTCTTGCTGTGTGCTTAGGGTCATTGTCCTGTTGGAAGGTGAACCTTCTGCTCAGTCAGAGGTTCTGAATGCTTTGGATTAGGTTTTCATTAAGGCTATCTCTATATTTTGGTGCATTGAGATTTTCTTCTACTCTGACGAGTCCCTCAGTCCCTGCCGCTGAAAAACAGCCCACAGCATGAGGCTGCTACCAGCACACTTTACTTTTGGGATGCTACTCCGCAGGT